TGAGCGCCAAACATCAGGTAGTCGCATAAACAAAGCATTACAAGGAGTTTTGCAGTTGCTGTTGTTTGTTTTCTTTATGGTCTGTATGGCAGGAGGTTGCCATGATTCTGTCAATACCTTACCTTTACTTCTTCTGCCTAGACGCAAGCATTCAGCCAAAACTTATGCCTTTTGTTGCTGGATGAAAAGCCTCAGAACGCCAAAAGTAGTTCCACATGCTATTATTCTAAGATTAGAAGTAAAGAGAAAGTAATCGGGAACTAAGAATAAGACAATGTTTGTTGTCCGTCTGAATGAATTTAAGCAAAAAGTGATGTTCAAAAGTATTTGCCCGATAGTCCTAGCAAAGTATTATATCCCAATAAATTATTGTATAAACAAATTTTATTTATATATTCGTGACATAATTAACAAAACGTAAAGACCTTTGAGGACATGAAATTTGTTAAGACTAATCACTTGTGATGCCAGTTTTTCGAACAAGAGCTCCTTTATTGGTCTGTTGCGCCATCTCGAGGTGACTACATAGACATTATCTTTTGAGGCATTCCGTTCAGCTTTAATTTCTACCTGAATTTGCACTCTAATGGCCACTTCAATAATTAAGCTGCACACGTTCTCAGGTGCTGGTGATACCTACCCCCCATGTTTTATACTCCAAGTTGATGATTTTTATTGCCTCCTTGATTGCGGATGGTCGGAGAATTTGCCAAGGTCTCGCATCACCGAGGTAGGCAAGTGGGCGAAGAAGATTGGTGCAGTTTTGATCAGTCACCCAAGTATGAGGCATCTGGGTCTTCTCCCTGTTCTCGTCGGAAAATATGGCCTTAAATGTCCGGTGTATTCCACCACTCCAGTCTGCAAACTCGGTCAGCTCTTTTGTTACGATGAGTTTCAATCTCGTTTCCTTTCGGAGGACTTTTCACTCTTCTCTTTGGATGACATTGATGAAGCTTTCGAACTGTTTATTCAAGTCAAGTACTCTCAAACTATTAATTTGCAGGGAAAGGGCCGCGGACTTAGCGTTACGCCACTACCTTCTGGTAATCCTTTTTGATTTCGTGAAGCCGTAGGTCATATGCTGGGTGGCACTATTTGGAAAGCGGTCAAAGATGAGACTGATATCATATACGCAATCGACTTTAACAATGAAAAGAGTCGTCATCTGAATGGAGCCGCCTTTGACGCTTGTATTCGCCCACGGTTGCTTATAATCGACGTATCGAATGCGCTATACGCTCACGTGCGCTAAGCTATTGTCATAACTGCTAAATTGTAGGTAGGACGTAAAGACCGTAACGAGGCTTTGCGTCACTTGCTCCTCAAGACACTGCGTCGTGGCGGGAATGTCTTAGTTGCTGTAGACACTGCAGGATACTGCTTGGAGATCGCAAATATGCTGGAAAGTCTCTGGCACAGTCCAGTAGGATTTCTTCCTGTTCGTCTTCGCTGACGCTCCTTATTCTAGGAGTCGGGATTCATGGCATATGGGCTGGCAATGCTCTCACACGTGGGGTATAGTGTCTTCGATTTCACAAAATCTTTGGTTGAATGGATGTCGGAAAGGATTTTACGGTCCTTTGAAGATCAGCGTTGCAACCCGTTTCATTTGCGGCATATGCAACTGTGCCACACACTTGACCAACTGGATTGTGTATCTAATCCAAAGGTGAATTTCATGCTTCCTTGATAAT